CTATTTATGTCTGTATCATTTTTATGCTTCCCAGAATCAACCATTTTCAACTCTTTTTAACTTTTACTATTTATGTCCGTATCTCTAAATAACATGCTTATATTGCTATTTATTGATTTTTTGTTTTGATTTTAGATAATATGCATTGATTTCTCTCAAGGGAAATGTTATATCTTTCAAGCTGTACCATTCGGAAGGGATACAGTATTTCTATTCTTTAAGATTAGATTGAAGGACTTGAAAATGTATTTTTGACAAAATGTAAAGTTACCCTTCTCCAACACAATATGATTCTGATCATGCCCTTCCAATTTATGTGCTTTTGTTATCCAGGATTTGCCCACAAATGAGAAATTATTTTTATAAATTCAGTATTTCTTTAGATTTATGCAGACATTTACCATTTTCTTTGCTTATTATTTCTTCTCGCATCTTAAAACTTTCATCTAGAATTGTTTTTCTTCTGCTTGAAATAAATTCTCCATAATTTTTTTAGTGGATGTGGTTGATAAACTGAAATCTGACTGAAAATGTTTCTATTTTGAAAGAGTCTCAAGATGTTTTTCAAAGATAGTTTTGCCGAGCATTCAATTCTAGTTTTTTTCTCTCTTGGCACGTTAAAAATATTTTCCCACTGTTTTTTGGATTCCATAGTTGCTGTTGAAAAATCAGCTGTTAGTCTAATTGTTCTCTTTTGTAGATGATTTGACATTTTTTTCCTCTGGTAGTTTTTAAGAGCTAGTTTTTTTGTTTGTTTGTTTGTTTTCTGTGATTTTCTGTAGTTTCACTATGATATAGGTTTACATTTCTTTTTTATTTAGCTTCATAGGATTTGTTGGGCTTCCTTAGTCTGAGGATTCATACTATTTATTAGTTCTGGAAAATTCTCAGCCATTACTCTTTTGAATATTGCCATTTCTCTTTTTTCTCTCTTCTCCTAGAATTCCAGTTAGAGATATATTGGACTTTCTCCCTCTATCTTCCTTGTATCTCTTTTTCATATTTTCTATCTTTTTATATCATCTGGACATTCTCTTGTCATCTGTTCTGTAATTCTTAATTATTTTTAGCCATATTTAATCTGCCGTTGAGTCCCTTAATTTCAATTATTTTATTTTTTTGATTTCTAGGATTTCCATTTAGATTTCTTTCAAATGTTTTTGGTCATTATTGGTAGTCTTTTTTTTTCTCTCTCATTTTTAATTTCTTATTTCTTTTCACGTAGCTTTATATACTTGTTTTTTTTGTCTGAGAATCCAGTATTTGAAGTTTTTGCTTGTCCAGTTTGCTGTCTTTTGCTCATGAATGCCTTTTTACTTTGTATATTTTGTGATTTTTGACTGTGATCTTTTATTCCTTAAAATGTCATCAGTAAATGACAAAATTAGATAAAATTAGATCGAAGGTATGTTCATCTAGAGAGCATGCACATTTGTTTCTGCCAAGTACCTAGAGGCACTATATATTAGGACCACTTTTTCCTCTGCATTAACAGGATGTGTGTGTATGCATGCGTGTGTATGTATTTGAGATATAATTTGTGTACCATAAAGTTTACCCCTTGAAAGTATATAATTTAGTAGTTTTTAGTATGTTCATAAGGTTCAGGACCACTTTTAAACATATCCTTGGCTTGAGGTTTAGACTGCACTGATATTGAGTTTGTGCTGCACATGCACATGAGGGCCAGCTTTATGGTTACAAATTCTTGGGTGAGATTTATATTTCTTTCACCTAAGACCAAAATTTAAGGGCCAGATTACCTTGTTGTCTCCTGCAGCACAGGTTTGTTTCTATTTGCCTTATACCCAAGGTAAAGCCCTGGTCCCAACTTTATACAGGAGTTTCCTTTCAGATTTCCAACTTGAGAGTTTTATCTCTTGTCTCCTCCATCACTGTGGCTCAGAACAGAAGTTCAAGGTCATAAATGCTGAGCAGCTGCCTCAGGGCAGCTGCCAGCTTTAGACTTAGCTCACTGCTCTGAATTTCAGCTCTTGGTTCATTTTTGGCGTCAGAAGACTTGCTTCTTTACTTGTCAACTCAGCAATAGATTTAGAAATATTTTTTAAAAAATATTTTATTCAGCATTTTTAGTTGTTTTTAGTGATGGGGTTATTTGGGATACTGCAGGACTATTTTCTGCCATTTACTTTTGTTGATAGTGTGCATTTTTTTTTCTTCTTACATCTTTAGTCAGCCCTCCAGGGTGAGAGCGTGGTTCAGTGCTAGTCATGTCCTGTCTTCACGTGGCCTTCTTTTCCTTTTTGGAAACTGCAGTCGAATTCCTTGACTTGACTGGGGTCTGGAACTTTCACTTACTGTCCTTGAAGAAGGGGACATTGCTGCTTCCTCAGGCCCAGCCAAAGAAGTCTCACACTTGTCTTAGGCTATAATAGAGCTAAATTCATTTCCTTCCCTTTGCTCATGGCTTGCCAGCTTTGGGGCATGGGTTCTGAGTTCCTTCTGCCCCACAATCGCTTTTTTCCTGGCTCCTTTTGAGCATAATTTCTATCATTGTGCCTAACTGACCAAGAAGATAGAGACAACATCCTCAAACCCTTTCACCTCCTCTCAGGAGGCCAGCTTGCTTTCGCAGCCATCTTCCCCAAAGATGGGAACAACAAAGGGAACATGCTCTATGGGTCACTGCTATCCACAACCCCAGAGTCTCAAGTTCAGCTTAGGAACTTTGCAGCTGCTCTTGGAAACACCACTCCACAACCCATTCCTGGGTGATTGAGTGTCTAGTCTATCTGGGGCTGGGCCACTTCCCTCCCCCTTCAGGAAGCTTCTGTTAATTATTACTTACAGGAAACAGAATAGGAAGCATGAAAACGGTAATCTCAAGGGATTGGAGAAGGAAATGATTCCCATAGGAAAGTTTGTCAGAATCTCTTATGGAAGTTTTTATAATCACCACCCTTCTAGCTCCGCTGTTTCTGGTAGGAGTGGACCAGAGTGAGAAAATGCTGAGAACCATTGATCTAGAATTATGCTGTCCAGTTTGGTAGCCACTAGCCACATGTGGCTATTGAGCTCTTAAAGCATGGCTAGTAAAATAGTGACTGGATTTTAAAGGTTTAATACAAAAAAAAAAATCTCAATTTTTTATATCGATTAGATATTGCAATGGTACTAATTTTGATATGTCTGATTCAAATGTTTATTAAAATTAATTTCACCTGTTTCTTTTTACTTTTTAAAAGGTAGCCACTAGAAAATTTAAAGTTACAGATGTGGCATGCAGTTGTGGCTCACTTCATATATCTCTTGGACAGTGCTGATCTAGAAGATAACTTGTTCCTTTTGGGGGTGGTGAGGAGAGAGAGAGAGAGAGATTTTGAATCTAATTGTGGTTTCTGCCTGCAGCCTCTCCTGGTTACATGGTTGGTCATTTTGGCCTGGTTCCTATGGATAGAAGTGACTTCATTCATCCCCGCAGAGGTTTCTCAGCAGTGACCACCTCTCCCAACGCTAAGTAGAAAGAAAAATATTCCCCAAGGGGGAAAATAAGTGTGGGTTTTTCAAAGAGCCATGTAATCAGCAAGAACTTCAAATGGTTCTCATCCTCATTGTTGCTTTCTCTAGAAACTCACCAAGGTCAGCGCCCCCCAGTTAGCACATTATTCCATATTCATTTCCATAGTAGTTTGGATACACAGGGAAACAGCTCTGAGAATGCCATGTGCTTTTTCTGTTCTCTTTCTGGGGCTGGCACCCCAGCTCTGGTGGTCCAGCTCTGGCTTCCAAGCTGTGGCCGTGCTGTGCGTAGACTTCTCTAGAGAAATGGGGCAGCCTTCGTGCTTGGACTTGGGCGTCTCACCCACCTGCCCTAACTCTGAACCCCCTGCCTTGACAAATGACACTTGATACAATAGATGATTTCCTCTATGCCCAATTTTATCCTGAACTTCTACTTCATTCTCACAACGTTTTTCACTCATGTCCCCTTTGCCACCATCTTGGGTAATATGGATGTAATCATTTAAAAATATTTTCTGACTAATATAAATACATTCCTAATTTATAAACTTCAAGAAATAGTCCATGCTGATAAGCAACATTTCCTCAGTACCCCTAATCTAGAACTAGGGGAGAACAGGAGGATTTGCTCCAACACTCCTCTCCAGTACTTTATCTTCCAGCTGAGTACAGCTGGGGGCTGAAGGCCTTGGCTTCATCAGGCTGCCTGGTGACTTTGGCAAGGAATGTGACCTCACCGGGCCTCCTCTGCCTCCCATGGAAAGTGGAGAGGATAAGAGCGCCCTGCCTCCGACATTGTGCAGCCATTAAATGAATGTGTGCGTGTCAGGTGCTTGCATCAGTCTTGGCACATACGCATACGAGTCCTATTATTATTTTTTAGCAAAATGAGATATTCTAAATTCTATTGTGAAGGCTATTGTTTTAACTCAATAGTTCCTGTGCCATCTTTATTTTATAACATTTCAATGACCTCATAGTACCCTTTCACGTGAATATACTGCAATTGGTGTAATTGATTTCTTCTCTCTCTTTTTCTCTCTTCCCCCTTCCCTTTCTTCTACCTTTCCTATGAAGTTACTGCGTAAACCTATTTATATTACTAAGGTTTTGGTAATATTGCCAGATCCTCTACATGTTTTTCCAGAATTATGCATGTCGTACCTCCTGCCTATTAGAGTAGGTGTCAGGATTAAGGGTTGCCAGCTTTTACTTTCCACCATCGAAAAGTCATAGCTCAAAGCCTTGGTGCTTATAAAGAGCTTCCTTCCCACCACTCACATCTGACCTTTGACTTTTATTCCCATCTCTGAGCCTGCCCAGGTGTCAGAGGTTCAAGTCCTCTTCTCTGAGACCCACATCGATCTCTTTCTATCAATTTTCATCATTTATTCTACTTCCTGTAACATTTAATTCGATATAGTATTGTCATTTCATAATTTCTTCCATTGGATTGTAAGAATAATTACTGTGGTGGAGGGGAAAGAAAGGTGAAATTATTCTACTTGAATCCACTTCTTTACTGATATATCTGCTCGTGGTGTCATTTTTGGTTTCCTTCTCTTTTCAGAAGCCAGCAAGTTCTCACTGATCCATTTTCTGATTGTTTCAGCTGCTGTAAGGAACCATTGGTCAGAAAGCAATACTGAACCCCACATAGAAAACATCACCTTTGGTCAGAATCAAGTGGACTCTTCCACAGTGGCCTCCAAAGAGGATGTAATGGTTCATACCCCAGACAAGAGCCATACACCTTCCGATGCTCCAGGAAACTTCACTTCACAAACAGAAACAGCAGATGCTGGAGGAAGGAACGACCCTTTGAGGAGAATAAATGGCACCATTTTTCCTTTTGGGGCTAAGATAGCAACAGCTCTGACTTCCCAGAGCAGCACCTTAGGTAAGTTTGTGCCAGTGATACTCATTTCATTCACATGTGTTCAGTCTTAGAAAGCAAAATTTCTGTCAGTCTCCCCATCCTCCATCTTGAGCTTCATTACCCATTTCAAAGTCCTGGGCTGGGGATCAGACCTGTGACTTAGGTTCCGTCTATGGCACACTGTGGTTAACTGAGTTATAACTATAGACCAGACAAGGATGCAGATTTACTGAGAGGCCCATCCAACCCCATAGAATATCTATTCTGTGTTCGGTCTAAAACCGAACAACATCCAGTGATCCTGCCACACACTGCAATCTCAGAGGTACTAGGAAACACAAACATGTATGGTTGCATGTTTGTGTTTATGTTACTCAAATAGTTATTCTTGCTGCAGTCTGCACAGCTGGTGGCTTGCCATTTTTAGTGAAAGATTTCAAGGAGGGGCTGGAGCTGGATAAACAAGATGGAGGAAGGGAAGACAAAGAAAGCTAGCACTGATTAGGTCCCTGCTACTTTACCGACATGTCTAGTCTCTCATTTCTCATAGCAAGCCGGTGAGGTCACATTACTCTCATCTTAGGAATTTGGGAACTGAAGCTCAGAGAAGTTAATTCATCCAATGGATATAGATCAAATGGCTAACAGGTTTCAGAGCTGGAATTTCAGCCTAAGTCTGTATATCTGAGCCAGGTGGAAGGGTGGCTGAGAAGTGGGTGCTCCGACCATGTATTGAAGATACAGAGGAGAGAAGAGTGAGCTCTTTGTGGGACTGCAAGGCCAGCAGCCTCCTTTGGGGGAGGGAGTAAGTTACACACAGAGCAGAGGATTGTTGGGTAGGACAGTTGTGTGGACAGCATTAGGGACAATCATGGAGGACTTAAAATATCCGGCACTTTAAATTTGGTGTGGTGAGAAGAGTCCCTGAGGGTTTTTGAACAAGGCAGTGACATGATTAATGCAAATTTGAGGAGGGTTCACCTGGTAGGCAGGCATAAGATACCTGGGATGGGAGATGGGGTAGAGGGAACCCAGAGTCAGAGGGACTACCCAGGCAGACCCCACATGCTAAAATATGGCTTGATGGCTTTAGGGTTAGAGAAGAAGGGATTGCTAAAGACTCTTCACAGAGGAAAATTGATTAGACTTGGTAATGGCCAAAAGTAGAGGACGAAGCCATCAAAGATACCCCCATGGTTTCTGTCACATCCTAGTGACAGGAGGTCTGGTTGGGGCACTGAATTCTATAAAGAGGATGTATGAAAGTATTTTATTTTCCATTCATGAATAATGAAGTTGGAGCTTACAAACTCTTCACGTGATGCTGCTTGGGTTTGTTGGTCATCCAGATATTGGAATTTTTTTTATGTTGAATTCAAGTAAATCCTGGAACCAACTTTGTGGAATGTGGGTGATGAGTCATGATGATCAGAAACCGATCGCTGATTCCATATCACCTGATACTTAGCTTCATTGTGCCATTTTCTGACAATTTTACCACAGGATGTAAAGTCTTTGTCTGCAAGATCCAAAACAGTCTTTGTTTTAGTTTGTGGTCTCTCACTCAGGGGTTCGCTTTTCATAGAATGAATAATTGCTCCTGATATCTTATATCTGTATATTTTATAGAGGTCAGAGCTGAGTCCCCTAAAAGAGTTTTCAGACATTTGGAGGTCTGTTGGTGGAATTTTAATTGTCGTTGTCTGCTTTCAGCCTTTAGAAGGAGTCGCCTGCCATCCAGCAGTGCAGAGTCAGAAGGAGGAGGCACCCCTTCTCACACAGAAAGTAGAACGTCCCAGAGTTCCCTGGCAAAGGGGGACAGGCTCCCCGAAGAAGTGACTGCGCACACCCACGTGTCTACTTCTGTTTTGAGCCAGTCCTCTCTTCCTGCTTTGGAGATGGGAGAAGAGACCACACTCTCCAGGAAGAGAAATTCCTCAGAGGCGGAGCTCCCCTGGCTGCATTTCTCTAGGACCTCAGCTTACTCTCCTCCCTCAGATCATTCCACAGGTGAGTGCTGCTGCCCTGCCTTAACACTCTGCAATTATCCGGAATAGAAATAAGTAGACATGTATAGCCAGGCATACTCAGCACAAGAGCTAAGGAAATAAGGGGAAAGACATTAAGCACAAATGCAAATTGTTCAGGGTAAAAGTACAACCCATACAATTTATCTCAGTATTTAAGTTCATCTCTAAAATATGTTTTCTTTAACTGTATGAGGAGTTGGTCTGGGTGGCTGTTCTAGGGCTTTCTGTCCACCAACCCCTACTTTTTCCCTTGCGTCCCACATACACATACAGCAAAGACGAAGTGTTGTTGGTGTGTATTCTTGTGCAAGAGGCCACGTTCTGGGGTGAATGAAAGGGTGAGCATTGTGTCATTTGATGAGGAGTTAGATTTGTATTTCTTCATTATTGCAAAAATGTTTCTTTCAATGGCAAAGATAACGTAGATATACATTTTTCCAGCCATCATTTAAAAAATCATACAGTGCAGGTGCTTGCAAGGCTGCAGGGGTAGAACACTCACCTCTCTGCCATTCTAATTCCTAGGCAACGGTTAAATCTCCTCTCAGGTATTTTTGTCTCCACAAAGCCTTTCTTCAACCCTCTGATCCTCTGGGCCAATCACCTTGTCACATTAGGTTATCTAATGCTTATCTGCCCAGGTAGATTGTAATCCTCTCGAGGGCATAGGCTGTGTCTGTCACTTCTCTTAGGTTCCCCACTGCCCCAGAACAAGGTACACTTAATTAGTAATGGAGATTAGCATGTGCCCAGATATCACAGGCTCAGCCAGTGATGGGCTGAAGAGAATGTCAGAAGCTCTGCCCACCTTTTCTCTTCTCTGAGTTTTTATTCAGAGTCGGTGCATGCTGCATGTGTTTTCATCCCCATGCCACAGAAGGCAGGGCAGAGAGGGTGGAAATATTCTTGGGGAATGGAGGTTAGGTTGCTTTTGAAATTGCCTTTTCAAAATTTTCATATGTCAGAGGTACTTTACAAGACTAGGGATTTGGGTTTATGTCATCAAAGCAAAAACTGAACCCAGAGGTCCTTTCTGTAATGCCTATTTAAAGCCACC